GTAACCAGGTAGGGTCAGTGGACAGTTAGGCCTGAATGTCAGCTACGGAGTCTGTACTTCACACATCAGAAATGGGGGGCCATGAATGGGTTCTGAGTAACATTAGGAGATAACCCATCCCGGACATTAACTCCAGAGATGCACAAATCTCGGGGGCTGAGGGGAGGTAAGGTAAAGGTGCAGGGTGGGCAAAGCAGGAAAATCACAAGGTTCCTGGAAGAGGCCACAGAAGACCTTCAGTGACTGTCCACTGCCTTCTGAATAAAGTCCGGACTCCACACATGGCGCCCAGGGGCCTTCGTGGTCATCCTGTATCTTACGCCTCCTCCCCACACCCAGCCTCCCAGCCAAGCTGAATGATTCTCGCTCTCTCATCCAGGTCCAGATGCACACTACGCCCTTCACCCACCTTCCCCACTGGCTCCCAGCACCCCCGCTGGAACTGCCATGAGTCCAGGTCATATGCACCTTCTGCTTCCGCACGCCCCACGGAGGGTCGCACCACACGCCTCGCCACCCATCGTCACCTTTCCCCCAAACCCAGAGCCCAGTCAGGAGAGACACTGAGCCCGGAATGTCCTGGCCTCCCCACACCCAGCACATCCCCTGCAAACCTCTTACACAGTAGACTCGCAAGGAATATTTGTTGAGTGAATCAAAACAGAGCTTGTTGTGTTTTTAAGTATTGAAATACAGAGGAATTAAAAATTAAGCTGAACCTGAAAATCTGTACAGGCAAAAACTTCAGTAGCTAAAAACTGTCTGTACTTTAGAATAGTACCTTTTTTCTCCTCACCAAGACTTAACTGAACAAGCTTCCCTTCTCTGATCGTGTCTTTTCTTCCTAACCCTCTGACAGGCACCGAAAATCCCTCTCTGCCTCTTCTTCTGAAAGAACTCCTTATCTACAAGGATGCCCCAGTTTCAGAACCTGCCACAGGAAGGAGTGTCTTCAGGAAAGGAGGAGGAATCAATTACATGCAAAATCTTTCGTGTTACATTAGGCCTTTGAGTGCTCTCTCCAGCAACAATCTGCTTCTGGATTTAAATGCTTCTCTGCAGAACATTACCTGCTTGCCAGAGAAGGTGAATCAGCAAATCTCAACTCTGAAACAAGGAGGTTTTCCACAGAAGGTAAAAAATAACAAGCACAACAACAACAACACGTACTGGGCACACATTCTGCACCAGGCACACACATGCTGGGCCTTTTCTGTCCAGCATCTCTTTCCCCACAACCTCCCCTTCCCGTGTAATAAAATTAAGGCTCAGAGGAGGTAAAGCATTTTCCAAAATGCTGTAAACTGCACTGTGAACTCAAGTCCGACCAACTCCAAACCTGCACTCTTTCCATTATGCTACCAGAACCAGAAATGATAAAAGGGGAAAAAGTCATGACAGTATAACCTGACATAGAGTTTCGCTTGTTATCAGTTTGATTCAGACCCTGTCCAGAAGCAAGTTTCCTATATCAGGCAAGGAACATGGGCATGAAAAAGTTTCCTTTATCTCTTGGGACCACCAGCAAGAAAACCAGCACGAAGACAAAGACAACGGGACCATCAAACACCAAGACAGAGAACGGCCAGAACTGGAAAGGTACCAGGCGGGACCCATCCCTGGCCACCCGTGGGCTCCCAGCACACAACTGCTCCAAGAAGCACTGGAGCGTGCAGGGAAGGGCGCTTCTAGGCCCAGAGCGCAGATATTGCAAAGGATGCAAATGTCTCAGCATATGGGTCGTGAGCAGTCATCGACGGCTGCACCCACACAAGCTCTCCCACCACATCTGGTGTCTCAGCAAGTGCGATCGACTTTACACCAGGCCCAAAGGCATTCCTGATTGGGCTATAATCCTCCAAACTGTTAATCAGCAAAAACTGGAGGACCATGGTCCAGCCCAGACCCCCTTCACTATCCAAGGAGGCTCCATCTTGAGTCAGCATCTCCCCAGTGCCTCTTTCCCTTCTCTAGTCATGGCGATCCCCTCTGGAACAACATCTCTCCCTACTGAGGACCGTCCTAAATCCTACCATTCTGTGGAGCTCAGCAGTGCGGGAACTTCCTCCTCCCCAAAGCGGTTTCTGAACGCCTGGGCCGCGGTGGTCTCCCCCTACCCTGACTATAAACACGGGTGCACTTAGCATTTACCTACATGTCTATCCAGATGCAGTTAGTTCTGATGCATTTAACTCCAGTGTCACAACCTGGCACAGTTAAATTCAACAAAACACTCACCTCTTCTATTCTAGGCACTGAGAGGCAAGAATGATTAAACCCCAGCCCTGACCCTGTGGGACTCACAGTCTAGTGAAGGATGGATAATATAAGATACAACTGTCCAAATACATTTATCATCATAGGGCACAAGATACAATCCAAAGCATTCTATCACATCACCGCATCTATTTGCTTCATATCATTTAGCTCAATCTGTGGCTGTTACAATTGTCCATTTACCTACCGTCCATCTGTCCCCACCAAGAGACAACGGGACAGGATCCTTGTCTGTCTGGTTCGCTACTGTGTCCCCAACACTCAGTTCAGACAAGGGCACAGAACCACACTCATTAAAAGTAGTACGTGTGGAAGGAGATAAAGAGAGAGGCAGTGAAGTGTCAGGAATGATGAGCACGAAAGCCCCAACTTAGAGGTCCAGGCAACGCTTCTGTGACAGGGAGACAACTGGGCTTGGATATGAAGAGGGAGTAAGGACCAGACCGGGAAAGGGAGAGACACAATCCAGAAGAGGAAACCGGATGACCAAAAGAAAGGGCAGATCAGAAATGACAAAGGCAGTGCAGGGAGAGCTCCTAACTATTGCGGCAGACCGGTTACTCTGGTAAATGCCTGGAGACATTTTTGACGGTCATGACTTGGGTCAGTGGTTGCTGGTACAGTCCAGGGAGGCTGCGAAACACCCTGCAATGTACAGAACAGCTCCCCCACAACAAAGAATTATGTGGTCTAAAATGTCAGTAGCACTGAGTTTAGCAACCCTAACATTTAAGGGATGGGTTGGTCAGAGAACATTAAAGCTTTTGTCTAAAGTTCACAATTCCTACACTCACCAAATAGCTTCTTTTGATTAGAATTTGGAGCAGGGTAGCATTTGCTTACCACCTCCTGTAACCTCAACAAAAGGAAATGTTCAGCAAGGAGTGTCCAGAACCTATCTGGCCTCTCTATTAGCTGAGATAAGACTTTCAGCAGATATCCGTGCACTCCCTAATGCTACATTTGGCCTCTGGGTCTGTTTTATGATCTTCACCAAGAACATAGTGTCAATTTCCCTCATCCGTTGACTATCCACCAGAACTCTCTGTCTTCCCTCTAAATTCTAAGACTCCAAACTACCCAACCCATTTGCAAGGGATGAGACATAGAAAGATGAGGACAACAAGAAGTGCTCAATAGCACCAGATAAATGGATGGGCGGTCAGATAAACAGAGGGATGGACAGATTTTTCAGAGTGGAAAAAGACGGAGTCCTTGGAGCTCCAAGGGCACGCATCTGTGCCTTGTGCACTTTTCCAGGAAGGCAGGGTCGTGCTGCAAGTTGACACCCACGCCTCCCCCAGCCCTGTTATGGGTGGTGGGGGCGGGGGAGTGGTCTGTCATGGAGAATCCTTAGCAAAGGTCATCTCCCCCAGACTCCGTGGCCTTGGCAGGGAGTCAAGCAGCTGGACTTGAAGGAGTGGCAACAGGAGCTGGGAAGTCAGCAAAGACAAAGCCCCTTTGTCTGGAAGTGGCACACACAGCAGGACTGAGCCTGCCCCTTGACAACGAAATCTGCGGTAGCTCCAGAACATGCTGGGGCCTGACTCTCAGTTCAGCTGCGCACACTGCCTCCCAATCACTTCTCTTCTCAAGAGCTGAAAGTCTCTTAGTCTACAATGGGTTTGTTTATTTTTGCCCCTGGCAAACAATTCGGTATTGTCTGAAACGCCTGAATTGTAACTCTAAGAGGGAAGGGAAAAAAAATAAAAAAAGAGAGATCACCATTTTCTTGTTGTTGTAAAAGATCCAATAGGGGAATATTTCTGAAGAGTGGATCTTAAAGCTCACAAGGGCTACCTCCTGCTACATCTCAAATTCCACCATGGCAGAAGTTTCCCAGATTTCTTCATCTCTGAAGTGAGCATGACACCATCCACTTTACAGTCTTACTAATATCCTAAAAGGGCTTTTTTTTTTTTTTCTTTGAGAGACAGAGAGAGAAACAGAACATGAGTGAGCATGTGCAGGGGGAAATAGAGAATCTTAAGCTGGCTCCACGTGGAGCCCAACATGGGGTTCTATCTCACAACTGTCAGATCTTGACCTGAGCTAAAATCAAGAGCCCGACCCTTAGGGGACTGAGCCACTCAGGGGTCCCTAAAAAGGCTTATTTAAATCAGAAACATTTACAAATGGATGCAGTGAATGAAAACTCAATTTACATCCAACTTTTCATGGGAACTTCTGGTGAGTAGAACAAAAAGCCAGGAATGGTGCCCCACGCGAGGTAGGAAATTCTTCCCAGTCCCAGAAAAACATAGGCCTTCCATCTAATAGAGTGGCTCCATACAAAGCCAGAGCTGGAAAGAAGGGACAGATTACCCTAGAAAATCAAAATGGAAATTGAATAAATTGCTACAATTCTAAGCAAGACCTGCAACTCTCACAGTAGAAAACTATCAGCACAGGCAGTGCCCAGTTTGGAAACGAATTGTCTTCCAAAAGTTCAATCTGTAAGTCGGGTGTTTGGAACTTGGAATGCATCCTTTCATATCCCAAGCCAGCCCACAAACACTGACGGAACTTCAAATACATCTGGCACACCACCCACGGCAAAAAAATAAAAATAAAAAAGCAATGTCTTTATATCATTTAAAAAATCTATCAAAGCTCTCAGAAAGACAAAGACACAGCTCATCACTGGCCAAATACAAAAGTGATGCAAAATACTGAAACGAGGTTTGAAAATTGAGAAGCTTTATCATTTACCCACTAAGTACCTTCTTAAATCCTCCAAATAAAGTGCCGGCCTCCAGGTCAAACTGTCGGTCCAGTTCCTCTTCATGTTCTGACAAGAAAAACAGTGTTTCATTAGTCACAAATCTAAATAAAACTGGGTTGGTTTAATAGGAGACGCATGAAGAGAAAGTGTGCTATCCTGGAAAAGCTGCCGGTGGTCTCAGCTACAGGCATGGAAACGGGTCACACACCTTGACCTGCCGTGCCAGCCTTCTGTGACCTAAGTTCCTGGAGCTACGTACGTAGTGGGGCTGACAGAAATGTCCCCTTCAACTTGTAATAAAGGTCACAAATGGAGAGTAATCAAGAGAGAAAGCTTCCAGCACCAGGAACCAAGGGAGGAATTAGCAAAAATGCCTCACTTGTATAGCTGGTGAAAAATTATCTTAAACAGATCACACCACAAAATGATGATCACAGCTCCATGATATGGACATAATGCTAACAAGATTATAAAATGGAATCATATAATAGTAGTAAGTATAAGCATACAGTTGGTTTAAAACCAAAAGTATAACAAAATATTCATTCAAATACTTCTTAACGGTGTACAATAACCAGGCCCACATTTAATATATATCAGGAAAGAAGCAAAACAAGACTGGCATGGTCTTTGCCCTCCTGGGGCTCATGGTACCCCAGGGAAGAGAGACGAACCAATAATGATAAATTACAACAGTGCTGATGAATACCATGTAAGGAAGTGAGGAATGTTAAGGTGTCTGTACGACGTCCAGTAGGTAGCCCGATGGGTATGAATGGAGCTCACGAGTACCCTAAGTTGGAGATGAAGACTGAGGAGTCCTCAGCATAAGGGTGATGAAGCCACCAAATGGCTGAGATTGCCCCCAAAAGGCACAGAGTGCATAGACCAGGGAAAACCAATGCTCATCAGACCAACACCCTACAAAAGCCACAGAAGAACCAAAAAGGAACTACCCAGAAAGATTACAGGAAAACCAAGTGAGTGTGCAGTCATTAAAAAATAATCACGAAATGATGCTGGTTTCACAGTAGGACCCAGGGGCAGATTCACACACACTAGAGGCAAACAGCAGCCCGAGCCTCCAACCACAGGCAATACTGCCTCTAGGAACAGAAAAAGGAGGGGTGGTAAGCACTGGCCCAGGGTGCCCCAGGGCACAACTCGAGGACACATTCACACTGTATCCCGAGTGGTCCAAGAGGTGCTGGGGAGATGTGGGATTGCAGCAGGGCTCTGGTCCTTTCTGTTACTGCTGTACACACATCACGTTGTGTGTGTGTGTGTGTGTGTGTGTGTGTGTGTGAACTGTGCACAGACTCAAGTCCCAGGGAAGAGCCCACAAACAAACAGAACATTATGCAATCCAACAAAGAAATAAAAGTAACAGGAACCTCCTAAAATTCATTAACATAAAAAGGGTGGAAAACCTCTAGGCCTCTGGCCTCTTCTGTTCTGGCTTCACTAACATACAAAGAGCAACCTCCAGAAACATCAGAATTGTGCAGAATTGAAACAAAGCAGAAACCTTTTTTTTTTTTTCTTCTTAAGAGTACAACGCAGAAGCAGTGAAATTTTACAGGCTAAAGCATCAGACTTCTTGAAACTGGAACAGAGCTCCCTCTAGTGGGTAAAAGGAATCCTACACAGATAGAAGAATTCCTACAGACCAACTGAAATACTATAGGAGACACCGTTAAACAAAATATAAAAAGATGAAATTAATTTTAGCATATTTATCTCAACATGGAATCAGTATTAAACAATTACGGATGAGTCATTTTACATTCCTTGTTCTTACTAATTCTTCAAAGTCCAATATACATGTTATCCTTACAGCACATCGCAATTGGAAACGGTCACATTTTGAGTGCTTGTATGGCTAATGGCTACAGTATTGGACAGCACAGCTCTCCACCAAAAATCCTCTCTCAGGTTTAGAGAATTTCTACAATTCACCCTCGTCTGATTTCTACACACACACATACACACACACACACACACACAAACACACACACACACACACATTCGCAACCCCTTTGGAAATCACTGCCTCCAAACCGTCTTAAGTTAGTTGACAATGTGCTGCTATGTAACTTGGTTGAGAGAAGAGAATGGCCGCTGAAAACGTGTAGCGGGAAATCCTTCCTGAAGAGCTTCAGCCCTCAGAACCTCTCCAACGAGACCCTCCAGGTAGGGATCCCATATTCCCATACTAGAGGCAAGAGATTTCATCATACCTCACACACACTCAAGCAAAAGGACCCTGCAAATGGAGAGAAGCCTTCCCTGCCTGAGCATTTCTCTCCACACCACACAGGCCTGACTGTCAGGCAGAGCCAACTCTTTCTTCGAGGTGCCCTGGTTCTATTTCCCAAAATTCCGCGCTCCACAAAACTGCCTGAGAGCATAGAAATGAAGCAATTTCTGCTGATGAGCCCTCATTACTAAATCAGCTGTTGATTCTCCCCACTCCAACCACCACCCAACAAAAGGATACATCAAAGCCCCATTCTACCTACTGAGTGAGAGGATTTGCATTTTAATCGATGCCAATGAGCTGTGGTGGTAAACCATTTACTTAAAAGCACTAACTAACCTACCCTTTTCACCCTCAACATTATGATAGGAAACCATTTCTGGGGTAGGGTGGGGGTAATTAGAGGGCAATAATCAGGAAGAGGGGGAAACACACACACACACCCTCGTCTGACACCAGCCACTGCCAGGGACCAGCACACCCAATCATGGCTTAACATGTCCTGCTGTTTCTATGCATTTGAAAAATTCCAATCAGCTCCTACTGATTCTTTATTTCTCTAGGAAGCCGCTGGGTACAGCAGACTGTGGCAGTAAGTAAATGAGTGGAGAAAGGGAGCAGAAAAGATGGGCTTCTCAAGATAAGAGAATTTAATGGTAAGCACCTCTCAAACATTCACATGAAATATAGAGAAGGATGACAAAGTACTGGTTTTTCCAGGACAACTCCTGAGAAATGGGAGGCCCTCTCCTCCCTTCTCCCAATTCCTACTAAGGGAATGAAAACTTGATTTGGAAATAGCCCAAGCAAAAGCAAATCAAATATGTAAATAGGATGCAAAGCAATATATAACATAAACAGCCTTCAAATCTAATAGGGCTGCTCATCTGCTACTCACCTGAAAGAAGCCAGGCCACCAGGGGCGCGATTTGCATGGAAATCCTTAGGGCTCCGAGAAAGGAGGAAGCAGCCAGGGACTGAGATGGAACACTCCAGCAAAGAGGAAGCCATAAGCTCCTGCATTTCTCTTGTGTTGACACAACAGGGAGCCCCGGCTGGACGAGTGAGGAGCTGTGGAGTCCAACACTGAGGGTTGCCTTCAAATGCCCTCCAGCCCAGGCCCTGTCTCAAGTCACTGTAAGAAGTTTACTGCAGGTGTTCAGAAAGTAGCCTCTCTGGAAGCCGACACTCCCCTCCTTTGAGGGCCAGGGTCCACAATGGAGGAGAAGGCCAGACAAGCCTGAGAGGATAGGCCAGGAAGCTTAGATTCCGAGTAGGAAAGCCGGAACTCAAATGTTTCCTATGACCTTGGCCACAGGTGACAGGGGAAAGAGGGTCAACTCTAACATGAAGCATTGCCAAACAGATCACTAGGAGCCTGAACTGTGACACCACACTACTGATGCTAGCCACGAAGATAGGCTGTCCACTTCTTGGCTCCCACAGGGGCTATGCATTTGGGTCCTTTCACAAAAGACCTGTTGACTAAAGGGTCCCCAGTGGCCCCTTCCATGGTATAAGGGCAAGGCCACCTTTTGGAAAACAGGACCAGTGGTAGCCCCCCCATTTCCCCTCCCAGAACTGGGCCCTCCAGAGTTGCCGGTTCGTCTTGCAACCAAATTCCTCTAGTCAAAAAAGCAGGGAGGATAACTTTTCTCCTGATGACAAAGCCCATCCCTCATGAGTAGTTAGTGTGTTGTATGAACGTGACAAAGAATCTCTAAACGTGCTGCTATATCCTTTCCTCATAAACAAAGACTAGGGGTAAGTGATAAGCACAGGTGAGTTTAGGAATAAACAACAGGTAAAGGTGAAAATGCTCAACTACAGTTGTATCCCACTTTAAGAACAACTAGTATATAAACAAAGAAATTGGACGTGGCAACTCAAATCATTTGTTGCATGTTTGCTTAAATATCAGGGCTTCCTGGTGCCATGGAGTTTATTTAGAGAAACATTAACCTCGGCCCACTGAAGATTTTTAAAAACAAAAATAAAATGTCTGTGAAATGGAAACGCCAATTTATGGAAAACACCATTCTGTTTAATATCCAACTAATCCTAATATCCAACTTTTCAGGCAGAGAGCACAGCATAACAGCTAAGCCTGGGCTCTGTAAAGCCAAAAGGATCTAGGGTAGCCTACTGTTCATTACAGAATAATCGTCACAGGAAAAAAGTGGTAGAATTTATAAATAAACCCAAGAGATTGTGTTTTGAGAAAGCAAACAAATACGCTGAATAGACAAAACCTTTGTAAATTCCCTAAAGCAGGAAAAAAAAAATGAGACATGTAGGTTTCAAAACATTGTATGACATGGGGCACCTGGGTGGCTCAGTTGGTTAAGTGTCCAACTTTGGCTCAGGTCATAATCTCATGGTTCATGAGTTTGAGCCCCACATCGGGCTCTGTGCTGACAGCTTGGAGCCTGGAGCCTGCTTCGGATTCTGTGTCTCCCCCTCTCTCTGCCCCTCCCCTGCTCATGCTCTGTCTCCCTCTGTCTCTCAGTAATAAATAAATGTTAAAAAAAAATGTTTTTTAATAAAAATCTTTTTAAAAAAATTAAAAACAAAAACATTATATGACCTACAACTGGATGTTAATACATTTGAAAATTTCAATGAAATGGAAAAATATAGGGCGCCTTGCTGGCTCAGTAGGCAGAGAACATGACTCTTGATCTCAGGCGTGTGAGTTTGAGCCCCATGTTGGGTATAGAGATTACTTAAAAATAAAATCAGAGAGAAAAGAAAAGTGTAAATTACTCGAACTGACTTCAGAAAACCTAAATATAACCTGAAATAA